AGCGAAGGTATGTGTTTAAAAGCATTAATTGTAGTTGAAAGATCATAGGACGTCGGGCTTAATGATGGCTTCGTATAGGATACAGGTTCGATTCCTGTTAGAGGACAATTAATTTCTTTGAAAATCCATATATATATTTACTTTTTATCATATCATCCCAAGCAAGGCGATACTCTCACTTTGACGTAAGGCGTCATTGCGAATAATTTGTGTATGTGTTTATTGGCAGTTGGCCTATATCCATACATATATTCTGTTCAAATAGCGATACATTTCTCAGATAATTCATTTCGAACGAGCTTGAATCAAATAAGCAATTCCTGTGGCTATTGTTGTATTGGCATTTCACAAGACGTAGCTACCATAATGTTTTGGGGAAAATCAGCAAAATTATCATCTCTATGCGAAGATATATCGATGTAAGCAAATCTGATTGTGCATTTTGTTAGGCTAATCTGATACACCCGGTGCACCTAAGAAAAGTAAGAAATGTAGAGAGTGAACCTGTCAAACGTTGTGCAGAAATGAAACAAGACATATTTTACATCACACATTTGAAGATATCTGCTCGAAATACATTAAGTTATATCAATTGTACCTTTAATCTGCAGGCATATATTGCTGGAATTCTTCAACCTATGATTTTGTGTCAGGTGAGAAGAACATAACACGGGAACCAGGAATTTGGTGTGAAAATATGAAAAACACCATCAGATTGCTTTTTACCTGTAGGGAATTCATAAGATAATGTTATCAGCGATTTGCGTGATGTCATCTTGCATACGCGTCTCCAAGTAGAATACACAACCTTTATTTCCACAACCTTTTTTCATATTGTTACGTACATGCAACCCCTTATATATATATATATATATATATATATATATATATATATATATATATATATATATATATATTCTGGGTTTATATTATAAATATAAATTAGGAGGGACATAAGCGCTCTTTCCTTGTAATATATAAGAAAAAAAGAAAAGCCTTATTTAAGGTTTAAAATCTATTTTAAAAATGAAAAAAACATCCTTGATGGATTAATTTTAAGTTTTAATTACAACTTAATTGACTGGATTTAATATTTCCGAAAATTACTTTGGTTTATTTCAAAACGAATTTAAGTTGATTGGAATCTTTTTTTTTAAATCGCTAATGTCGGCTATATTGACAAATCTGTCAACAAAACATACTCCACCGTATTAAAATTTTTCTAAAATAAAATATACTTTTCTGAAACTTTATTTGAAGATTAATAGTTGTAACATTTAATTAAAACAAATATTACTTATTCATTTAGTTGAAGCCATAACAGAAAAGCATTGTTTTAACACGGAGGTGAGTGTTTGTATGAGGTGTTAACAGATTTATCAATATTTGAGTTTTTTAAGTAAAGTTTGCATAACTGAAAAATTCCTTGACGAATACAACGTGAACGCTTTTCTTAGTTATTTTCTAACTACCCAGTCATCTTAAAATTTAGGAATATTAATCTAATATTTTGTTGAATTTTAGGTAATTTTTGTAAATATTCATTATTTATCGAAAAAGGTTTATGACGATAGTGTCCATTTTATTCCTGAAAGTAACTAAAAGCATTGTAATAATGTTTTAATTTTATTGTCTTTTCAACGGCCAATAGATGATAATGACTTCTGATATTTTCTACTCACTCACACACAAGCACACGCACGCACGCGCGTGCACACACACACACACACACACACATATATATATATATATATATATATATATATATATATATATATAATAAGTGTCCGTTAGTCTCGTGAGACTATGATGTCTACTACTACTAGGATGATTAAGTCGGGTGTATGTGTATTTCTTCAACACTTTCAAGGTTGGTTTTTGTTTTATACTGAACACTAATATCACCGTAATTTCTATGCTAACCGTTTCTTCAATCTCACTCCTCTTTGTGGAAATCTCTTCCGGCTTTCTGCTCTCTAGTCGAGTTTGCATATACATTTCTGAAGATCAATGTCAATCGTTATTTTCTGTTTTCTTAATTTCATTGTTTTAGCTCCTTAATGTTTTTTATTGCATTCTTTCACACTCAGTAACCACGGGCGTGTTAGTAGCTTTGTTGCCTTGCTTGTGGTGAAATGATAAAAAAATAAGTATATAGAGCGAATGTTAGTTAAAATTTTGACGAGAGAGCACAATATTGCGTAATCAGTACTTGAAGAAGGTCGGTCCGCACAAACCCTTGATTACGACAACACAACCATCGACAACCTCAGAACAGTTTCCTTTTGCCAATTTCTCGCAACACACCTGATCTCGTGTTCATGCAATTCTGAAAGGTACCACAGACTGAGATCATCTCTAAAGGTCGATATTATCTAATAGTTGGTCTTGACAAATCGACCATAGTGAAATTCGAGTCATATGGTCGAAACGCTTAATCTTCTAACCACTCAACCACGCACCGATCCATCCATAAACCTAAAATTAAATATAGACGCTTCAGAATCGGACTACGTTAAGTATAGAAAAACCTGTTAATCCTATCGTGTCATAGACATATTGCTCTTACAGACTGTACATGTAAATAACTGTGCTTTCTGTAAGTCTGGTGCCAATATTTCGAGGTGACACCCAGATTAAAATGGCGACGTTTTTTTAGCCTCGGTGAGTATGTTGAGAGTGAAAAATTGATTGACGAACAGCGACAATAACGAGAAATACTCATATGGTCAGGCTTATTTCTATCCATCTAAAAAGTAGATACGAAAATATGAAGCAAAGAAAAGAACGTACCATTTGCCATTTTTATAAGACCGCAAATAATTACGTCTTTATTTACAGAGAATCAAGATCAAAACAACCGCGTCTAAGAAAAAAAAAACAAAAAAAAAAACAAAAAACTTCTATAACTTTTCTAAATTGCTCTGCTTACTTCACTACGATAGCTCCAGACACTTGATGCGAAGACTATGAATTCTTTCTTGGATATTTTTTTTGTTCTCTAGTAACCAGATTGGGGATTATAGAAAAGATGATGCTGCTCAAAGTCGCTGACAATAAGCAGTGATCGTGGTTCGATGATAATGTGAGCTGTAGAGGCAGACAACAAACCCAAGATCAATGTTCTGTAACTAACATTAGCTCGACGCTGTGTAATTTCTAGTCGGATGCAATGGCTAATAGAGAAAGCAGGGTAGAAATTGTACTTGCATAGCTGCTGAATTTATCACCGAGAATGACAGCAACTGTAGTCAAAAGTAGCAGGTATCGAATACATACATACATACATATATATATATATATATATATATATATATATATATATATATATATATATATATATACCGGCTGATTGCAAAAGAATGTTTTTACCACACACTGTTTATGATACTGACACTGACATTGCACAATTTATTTATGGAGAAAAACTCTAAATGTATTACAGCAACATAAATATAATGTTGTACACTTGGCAGTGAACCAATAACCAGCATCAGATTTTTTTCTATTTTCAGTGAGCATTCGACAAGCAATGACGTATATGTAAATTCTGTTGTGGAGAAAAGGCTAATTCTTTTATTATTTTGCAACAATATTTTAGAAGACAGCAGTTGGAATTCTTCACAAACTACACTATCTACGATTGATACATAATTAATCCTGATTTCAATCACTTTCACACTTACGTGATGTGGCTTCCCTCTCTTTTCTGCAAATATTTTCAGGGCAACCTCTTTGATGAGCTTTTTTTACCTTGGTTCCCTGATTACATTAATTTAAACGTGTTACTAGATTAGCAACTAGGTCTTACCGTTTTACTGAAATAGCTAAATGCAGCCGCCACTTCTACTCCGACAGTTTCTTTTCTCGCACTTCCTACCTATGGAACTCTCTCACGATTTCTTGCTTCTCTGATAACTACAATCTTCAGAAAATTAAATGCAACGTCAATGGCCATCATCTGTTCTCTTAAACTTTGTTCTTTATCCAGTCCTCCCCAGTTTCAATCTTTTCTTTCACGTTCACTCTCTGAAATCCCCCCCTGCGTCACAGAGCCATTGTCTCTTTGATTGGGCTGAAACGATTAAAAAGAAAAAAAAAACCTAAATTAAAAGTAACACGTGTAAATGTCAAATTTATCTGAAGAACAAGTTAACGAGTGTTACTAACGGTGAACGTATTGAGTGTCTGTAAAATCTTTGAATAAACCTAGAGACTCTGTTCAAACTATGCATAGTAAATGTCAGCATCTTAATTTTATTTTAATAACATTTTAAAAGCGTTTCGTTTTATTTCATAATAACCTTGCGTTTGCGATATTTAAAAGTTTATAAATGTACAGACAAATTGTATTTGTGCTTCAAGAGTTTATAGGCATGAACAGCAACCAAAAAAAAAAAAAGAAAAAAAAAAAAGGAAGCCGACTGTAATTGGGATAATAGTTATTGTGAAATTCATGATCCTTTCCGTAGTTGCATTGTATGCATTTTATGAGTTGCTAAATATGGTTTTGAATCAGAGATGACTGGCTGTCAACCAAGGCTAAAGAGCCTAGTCTGATTGACTATTTAACCCATAGATAGTGGAAGAAAAGTTAGATTCAAACCTTTCTCATGGGGATTTGTGCGTAAGTGAATGCAACGAATTCGAACTCTACTCCCTGATTTCTCATCCTGATCCACTTTCCATTACGCGACGCGCACATTCAATCGCTGTTAGATCAATGTGACGTGTTAATCGATATGTTCACCGTTAGTAACACGCTTAACAGATGGCGTGTTAAAATTCCGGAAATAAATGACAATTAGAAAATTAGCCAAGAAATCACTCGTTCATTTAAACTGCCCCTTCTTTTGTCAAATGGTGAGGTTTGATTCTGGAATATATAAACACATTACAAGTTAGTGAAATCATTTATTTACATTATTATACATGTATATATTTGTAAGTTCCCCTTCTATATTAAATTCCAAAGCAAGTCTTATGGCTTAGGGCTACATCACATTGAAACATTGGTTCCCGTACGATCATCGAAGTTAAGCAACGTCGAGCCTGGTCAGTACCTAGATGGTGACCATTTAGGAATACGTGGTGCTGTACGCTTAGATGTGTGGTGGTTTAATGGATAATGGCTAGAAATTATTAATTGGAGTGTGGAGTTCTAATTCCTGTTAGGTTCATTATATTCACTTATCTGCAAATACCTTTGGGAAAGGCATGAATCCACCTTTTCTCCCCCCAGCTATGAGTTAATTAGTAAGACTTGTATCACTAAGCCATTATTATCTAAAAAGCAACTGTTACAATCTAAAAATATTTTCAGGCTTTAAATAATCTGAAATGGTTTGATGAACTGTAAAAAAAACTGAATCGGTCAACCAAAACAAAAAATGGTTTTCAATTTAATATTGATGTAACTGATGATTTGAAGACTCTAACATCAACCATCCATTTTGCTATAAAAAGAGGTTTTATATCTTGTAGCGTTCATAAGTTGGTTTCGTGTTATAATAATAATAATAATAATAAAAATAATAATTTTAGGTTGTACAGTATTGGCACCCATTGAATATAAAACACGACAAGACAGAGGTCAATACCTGCACTGGAAACTCCGCCAGACTTACGGAAAGGAAACTGGAAGAAATTGATATGAACTCTACGCAGACCAGGTTAGGGAGATAGGGCTTGTAACAATTTCATGAGACTTTACAATGCACACAGAGAGAACAAAGTTAATCGCCCTGCCGTCGTGAATAGAGACCAGAAAAATAAAAATGTGCTTCCTTATTGACATGGCAGTCCCTGAAGATCTTAAAACAAAACTATCAAAATACAAGAATCTTGAAATCGAAATCTCAAAAATTTGGCACATGAGGACATTAACAATTCCACCTGAAGTTGTAGTTGTCGGATTGATTAGAAAAGATTTCAACAGACTCATTGAAGGAATCCGTGATAGTCCATGCCTTAAAGAAATACAAAAAATTGTATTCACAGGTACAAGCCACACCTTTATCTATGTAAAATATGTGCGATTTTTTTTAAAACTGGACAGTGGAAAATGTTATGATGCCATTTCTGACCTTAGGTCTCTGGTCGGGAATCGGAAAGAAATGAGTATACACCAGAAAAAAAAACAAAGGAAATAAAAACAACAACAACAACAACAACAACAATAATAATAATAATAATAATAATAATAATAATAATAATCAAATGCGACAGGTTGAATTTGGAACATGTGCATGTGGCATAATGGTTAGCGACTTGGAAAGTGAAATCAGCGAGGCGAGTTTGTAATTCCGAAATGATATCTTATCTCTCCAGTGATATATTTACACATATCAGACTGACTTAACCTAATGTCTGCGACAAGTTTACTCTGAAACTGCAGTAAGTCGCCAATCATGTTCGGATCATTTCTCTCACAACTTTATTAACATCACAAAATGTATTTTTTCAATGAATATTTTTATGAGTTTGAATGAAGGTGAAAATGCTAAGTCTCCAAAGTTCTAATCAAATATAAGTTAAAGTTTGTGCTTTATTTAAATTGTCATTTCTTGTTGATATAATGCGTTAAGTTCCAATCAAATTTTGGCATTCATAACTAAAATTTTGAAATTTGTAATCAGCTGAAACAATCAGAGCTGGGCTGAGAATATTGTAATGTTCTAAAATAATTTTGGCTTGTACATCTTGTTATTGAACGTATTGATTAAACATCTACCTGGATCCAAATATAGAATGGTAAAGATAACATCCAGACAACCATTTGACTTTTCCTACTAAACCTTCCAAGAGTGGGATATTGTTTGGCTACTTCAGTAGATTGTGAAAATTAAAATCACAAATACATTCTGTCTATATTTCTAAGATAAAGAATTGTAATTATTTACATCATTTTTGTTGCCATATTCACGACGTTTCGGCGGCTGTACTCTCCGGTCTCCTTCAGGTGATTGCAATTTCTGACCGTCGACAGCTGTAGATTGTTTTAGTTACACGTACCATGCCTTTCCAGATATCTCAGTATTAATATTAATTATTTCTCTTTAACTCTCCAAGTTTTTGTTCACCTCTGTTGTAGGCAGGTATTGAACTGACAACTCTTTGGGTTAAACCAACGCTTTTATCCACTCGGCCATAAGGACAACAGTCGTTGAGGGCAACATTTCGAACAATGTAAATAGTGTAAACAAATCTATTCTTTCCATTTCTCCTTGTTACAAGTCATTTAACCCATTAGGGTCAAAGGGACAGCATTCGAACTGTGTGCTGCTACCACACTACAGAAACTGTATCGTTTTACTTCCCTGTGTGTTGTTCCTGATGTAAGTTTAGGTACCTTTTAGATTGGTTACCGTTTTAACCACTTCCAGTTAGTCTTTATTATATCACCGGAAGCCTTCATAACAAAAGAATGACACTTAAGTACGTGGTCGGTAGTTTTTATCATCCATCTAATCTCTACCATAATGTTTGTAACTTTTAATAACTTTTCTCGGTGCCACTTTAACGTATGTCACAGAGACCACATTCTGCTTTAGTGTGGATCCTACCACAACATTTATATCCTACATTATTAAGTCTTTGTCCCGATTTTTTTTCTCGATATCTTAAAAAACATTCAGAATGTTTTTATTTAAACGATTCAAATATTTTGTTTTATGATTTTTTAGTCAAATTTCTTATTTTATATATTTTTTATTTTAAATTTTATAATACAACAATAAATGGCATCCCTTCTTCCGTTTAAGCCCCCCCCCACCTTACGTTAGATAATGTAGAATACAAATTTAGTGGCAGGATACACTGATCGTTAGGACACAACCTAAGTGGCACTATTTTCTCTCTCCGTTTGTCTATTTTCTTGTCATGTTGAACATTTGTCTAAAGTAGCCATATTTGATAGGTTTGTATCACTGTATGAAGTATTCTTTTCTGCACGTCCACATACACAAAAAATGTAACCGTCTTCTTACTTTCCCGCGAACAACATTGAAATGTATTCCTGTATAAAATTTATTGATGCAAAGAATGTATTCACTACATTGCTTTATCCATTTAGATAAATGGTTATAGTTTTATGTTCAAGCTTCTGACTGATTTTGTTAAATTTCGTGTTACTCTTGTTTGTTTCAATTTTCAGACTAACTCGTCTTATTTATATGTATTTATTTTTCTTGTTTATCCTTTTGATTCTTAATAAACCTGACGATGTTAAGGAACTTCGTGTTTAGAGTTTTAATTGCCTTAAGACATTTTTCGAGATTACGCATAGTCGTAATAGCAATGACAAATCTATTACCTTTCAGACTTTTTTTCGAATTCGGATTTTCCTTACTTCTATACTGTTTCGTAGGGTGGACCAAATCTGTATTGCTATGTAACCCATAGCTGGGGCGATAAGTAGGACTTATACTCTTTCCTAAGAATATTATCGCCGGAATTCGAACTTGTCTCGCCGATTTCTCTTTCCGAGTTGCTAAGTGTTACATCTTTTGTTGATTACTTCAAAAAAAAAACGGTTAACAGGATTTAAAATAATAATTTTAAAAAAGCATAAGGACCACATGCTAACGTGTGATAAATTGTTAATTCGTTGATAATTTATAATTGTGCTTGAACTTGATCTATGTCCTTTTAACTGAATCAATTAAACAAATTTAATAAGCAACGCAGCATTTCTTGCATTATTTACAATCACCTGAAGAAGGCTGGAGCGGACAATAGCCGAAACGTTGTGAACATGGTAATGAATATGAAGATAATAGTCCGTTTCCTTAAATCACTGAAAGAAATGTGTTTTCTAATGGAACATACTACAAAGATTCTTCAGATTTCGATTACATTTCTCATTTGTATTCTTTACAATCTTACTATTGTCCTCATCTTTTGCTATTATAATATTTCGACTCTGGCTTTAATTCACCAGGTGATTGTTCTGCGAGACAATCCTGAGTCTAGAACATTGGTGTCTTAAACTTAACATGTCTGTTTCTGACTCTTATGCTTGACTGCAGAATACAAAGCCTGTCATGATAATAATACCAAAGAAGAACAATAATCCAAATATAAATAATGAAAATAATAATTCCTCATCCCTGAAATTTAGACATGTCTTTACATGTTATTGCCGTGATAATTTGAGATATTATCTGTATTTATTTTAGATTTATTCTCGTTCTTTGTGGATATTGCGAATAATAATAATAATAATAATAATAAAAAGTGAAAGTACGACAACCATCCAATTGAAACCGTTTTAATATTTGACGATGTAAACAAAAGGCATCAGCATTCACTGTCTTTGATATTGCGGTAAAATCCAGAGAAATAATTTTGGAGTTCAGCACCAAACACGACTAAACAAGGAAATCGAATCTGATTAATAGGAACACATACACACACAAACGCTCACACACACACGCACACACACAAGCATGTCAGATCGTGGATGAAGTTGTACCGGTGAAACACAAAGTGAACGTGAAGGAGGGCGTTAAACGAGAACAATATCAGGACCTTGCCTGGGAGCTGAGAAAGATAATGAATATTAGGTTTACATTCGTTTCCGTTATAGTAGGTGCATTTGGATCTGTAGCATGAAACACTGTAATCAATATTGAATGAGTTGGGAATTCTAGTTAGCGGCTGGACAGTAATCACCAAGGCTTTGCTTTGGTTACAAACTTAATAGGATATAATGTCCCTCAGTTCCCAGCGTTGATCACCAGACATCTGTCAGGAAAATGAATGGATAAATATGTAAAGTCTCAAATCTTCCTCAGTTTTCTACTGCATCCAATCCCTTAATCTGCGTCAGTTTTTTTTTCTTTTTCCAAAATTATTCGATTATTTTTTTTCTTGGATAGGGTGGTCTTTGAGTGTCGAAAACTACGTATTTTGTGATCTGTTGACCAGGATAGTCGTTGTTTGTGCTTATATCATTTATCAACAAGACCGAACACAATTCATTTGCAGAATTACAAGTGTATAACTGTTCATATCTTGTATCTTCTAATGCGCTCATTTTGGCGAGCTTTCTGCATCCATTGATTATGTAGCTGACCGTCTCATCTCCGGAAATCTGA